GCCACCGCACCACGTCCTTACCACAGTGTTTGTGTTTGCCGAGTTCGCCATTTCCACACACAACACAAACAAGAGGGAACGAGAGTTTTTAAAAAAAAAAAAAAAAAGAAAAGAAAAAACAGAAAAAAGATTAAAACAAAACCACCCAGACTCGGAGGTGACCCAAGTCACCCGCGAGACGGGCAAAAATTCCTCAGAACCGATCCCGGAGTGAGGACGGAGCGGACAGCCAGGAGGAGGGGGGCACTCCTCCCGCCGCCGAAAACCACCGAACCGCCTTAAAAAAAAGAAGCCACGACCCTCCGGGGGTCCAGGGGGCGTTGCCCGCTCCCCACCCGGCGCCGAGGAGGGAAACCAACACCGGTCGCCGCTCCCCGCGCCACCGCTGCCGCCACCGGCTGCAGCTCCAGCCGTCCGGTCCGCCTGCTTCTCCCCTTTATATAGCGAGCCAACAAGCTGCGCGAGCCGCCGCCGCCGCTGCCGCCGAGAGACAGGGCGGAGGGAGGGAGGGGCGGAAAGGGCGGGGGCCGCGGGGGGCGGGGCCGAGTGCGAGACACCGCGAGAGCCGCCTGCGCGTGCGCGCCGGGCCACGGCTGGGCGCGGAGGGTGCCAGAGGGCGGGGCTCCGGGCCTGGAGTAAGAAAGGCGCACTGCCGCCTTTTTTCCAAGTCTCGCGTGATCACGTGGTTGGCACACTGGCGGAAGTGTCCTGAGGGCGTGTGTGCTGAACGGCTTGCGAGGCTTACCTGGAAGGGGTGCCGCTTCCTCCCGGTCACTGGCCAGCATCAGCTCCCAGTCACGGGCGAGCCCGTGAGCCACGGGGTAGGCGGCCTCCAGCAGGGCGCTGAGAGAGGGCGCGTCACGTGGTGCGGCTTCCGGGCCTTGGTGCGCACGGAGGCTCCTCACGGTTTTAAATGCGTAGTCAACCTTTGATTCTTGAACTTGGTTCGGAGGGTGGGGAAGTTTGCGCCTTTTGCAGAGGGTAGATGCCTGGCTGAGTTTCTGAGTGCTTAAAGGAGATGAAAGCTAGAACTTGTACCGTGTCCAGTAGCCTCTGTAGAGGTTTTGAGCTGTTCGTCTCCGCAGTCTGAGGCTAGGACGTACTTTTGCTACAGTACCCCAAAGGTTCAGCCTCTGCTCTCAAGTACTTATGTGACTTCTTAGGGCGATAGAAATGATGGAAAAACAGCTACAATCACTAGATGTGAACAACCCGATAAAGTCCCCCCAGTCTTTATATAATGCCAAAGTACTGACTGTACATGGTCAACACAGTGACTAGCCACATGGGAAACCCGTGCCTTGACCCAATTTTCATGGCCTTCGCCGCAAGAGATTAGGCAGTCTGTCGTGTCTTGAAGTGCAATTCAATAGTTTGACCTGCGCCACCCGAGTAAATCTTTTCTTTGTAACATTTCATGCAGAACAGACTCCTGTGTTCTGTAGGCAGAATTCACAGTACTAATTTTCCTGAACCTAGGAATTTTGGGAGAAATAGACTGTAATTTGGACATGTGAAGTACAAAATGCAAAGCAAAACGAAGGTCATAATTCTATGCCAGGGAAATCAAATATATGGAATATCCAAGAGTCCTAGCAAAGAAAAAACAAAACGCAGCCTGTCTCCTAGGATCTCAGAGACTGGGATTAAAGAAGGCAGAGGCTGAGAGGCGTGTGGCACATGCCTTTAATCCCAGCACTCGGGAGGCAGAGGCAGGCGGATGTCTGTAAGATCAAGGCGGCCAACCTGGTCTACATGCGTACTGAAAACGTTGGTAACACTGAAGACAGAACATGGTAGGGAAGCTACAAGATTTGTTCTCTGCAGAATTAATATTCGTAGGGGATTAATGAGATCTGTGTTGTTTGTTCTGATTTGTGAAATCAGAGTGTTATTGGATTTATTTTATTTTATTTTTTTTAAGGACTCTCTAAAGGGCTGGAAAAATGGCTCTGGTCAAGAGCTTACTTTCCTTCCAGAAGACCTGAATTTGTTTGCCAGCAGCCACGTCAGGAGGCTCACAACTGCAGCTCCTGCAGGCACTGTTTACACACATAGCACACAAACTCACACGAATATATAAATAAAAATAAGTTTAAAAAAAGAAAGACTATAGGCCAAACTCCCCAGAGGCTCTGAGTTTGCATGTCTTCAGATTACTTCAGATTGCAACAATGCACTTGATTGATATTTACCCAGGGCTCTTCCCATCTCCTAGGCATGTGCCCAATTTCAAAGTAACTGCCATGGATTTCATTCTAGTGTGTTGGTTTCCACTTCTTCATTTAACTGTAATATGTCTTTAGTCACAATATATATGTGCTGGCCATTTCGGAAAGATATTTTCTGATCTTATATTAAAACAGTAGAACTAGGGGCTAGAGAGATGGCTCAGTGGTTAAGAGTACTGGCTGTTCTTACAGAAGACCTGTTTGGTTCCAACACCCACGTGGCAGTTAACAACTGTATCTCCAATTTCAGGGTATCTGACACCCTCTTCTAGCCTCTGTGGGCATTACATGTACATGGTGCACCTACATACATGCAGGCAAAAGGCTCAAACACCGAAAATAAAAATAGTTTTCTTGTCTGTTTTTGAGACAGGGTCTCCCTTAGTCCCAGCTGTCTTGGAACGTGCTGTGGAGACCACACTGGTCTTGATTTCCCAGAGACTCACCTACCTGCTAGGATTAAAGGAATGTACCACCAAACCCTGCTTATAAATAAAATTTTTAAGAAACAGTAGAACTGAATGTTTGGAAGCTATAGCCCTTTAATTTACAAAACAAAGACTTGCTAAAAAACAACAACAACAACAAAAAAAACCAAAACAAAACCTCTCCTGCAACTCTGGGCAAGATGGATGGTGCACACCTTTAATTCCAGAACTGGGGAGGAGGCCGGTCTGATCTACATAGTAAATTCAGGCCAGCCAGGGCTACTGGAGACTCTGTCTTAAAAAAAAAAAATTCTCATGCAAGACTAGGTATAGCATCATAGTTCAGTGATTTTTATCTGAACTTCCTTTCAACTAGAGTTTGAATAACTTCTAATTTTAACAGCTCTTCATATGAAACATTTATACTACATTTCCAATTTATGAGTTTGTATTTTACAATATATGCAGACACATACATGCTTTCTTTGTAATGACTCTTTTTCCCTAACTTCAAAATGTTTTATGTCAGAGGGTAAAAAGTACCTGTATATTCAGGAGAATCAGGACCTCAGTGATGCCCACATAGCTGAAAATGCTGTCTACCTAGTCTACTGACTGAAATGCTAACCTCTTGTCAACCTGGGAGAAAGGAAATACAGATGAAAGTAAGATCCAGAGCAGAAGGAAAATCCTGTAGTCCTGAATTCAGGACTACAGATAGTCCAGGAGTATCATGATGATTTTTTTCATAATTTTCCTCTGTCTCTGAAGAGGCCTAGAAACAAAGTTAACCAGGAGCAATGACTGTTTTTAGTTCAAGGCTAGTGCTCTTGAGAAATTTCTGATTATGCATTCTAAGATTCTAAGTCAAGGGCAGGGAGCGTCTTTTTTTTTTTTTTTTTTTGGTCTTTTTCAGACAGGGTTTCCCTGGAGCCCCAGCTACCCTGGAACTTGTTATATAAACCAGGCTGGCCTCAAACTCACAGAGATCTGCCTGCCTCTGCCTCTCAAGTGCTGGGACTAAAGGCATGTGCCAGCACACCCTGCTTTCAATCCATTATTTATGAGTAACACTTGTTCATGGATTATGATCTTGAAACATTTTTCATAAACAGGAATCAAGGTTTCTTGGAGATATTTCTAACTCTGTGAATGGTACAAGAAAAATATTTTTGGGGGTGCTGAGCATGTGGCTCAGTCAGAGGAATGCTTAAGCATGCATGAAGCTCTTCCCCAGCACCACATAAAAGTGGACATGGTGACACAAACCTTAATCCCAGCACTTGGGAGGTGGAGGTAAGAGGATCAGAAGTTCAAGATCATTCTTTACTACATAGTCAGTTTGAAATCAGCCTGAGCTGCATGAAACCTTGTCTCAAAAAATAAAAATAAAAAAATTAGCCAGGCATGGTAGCACTTGCCTTTAATTTCAGCACACCTTTAATCTCAAGCAGGCAGATCTCTGTGTCTCTGTGAATTCCAGGCCATCCAGGGTTGTACCATGAGACCCTGTCTTTAAAAAAAAAAAAAGAAAAAAGTAAGTCAAGCAAAACTGTTAATTATTGCCTGACAGACACAAATGTGGAATATCTTTTCATGCAGATCAGGAAGGTGAATTTAATTTTTGTTGTAACAAAATACGACAAACTACATAGTTTAAACAACAGCAATTTACTTTTTCACCACTCTGGAAACCTAGGTGTCGGCAGTCCATACTATCTCTAACACTGGATAGAATCCTTTTGTGATGGTTAATTTTATATGTTAACTTTCCTGGGCTAATGGATGCCTAGAGAGGTGATAAAACATTATTTCTGAGTGTGTCTGTATCAATGTATTAAGGTTTGAGTATGAACTGTCCTTCATAGCCTAATAATGTATTGGATGCTTGACTGCCAACTGCTGGAATTTTAGGAAGTGATTGAATTTCTAGGTTCTGGTCTAGCGAATGCATAGTCCCTTGATGAAGTAATAATTTGATAGTATTTGGAGGAGGTGGTGAAAAGTGGGAAATGGGACCAATTTAGGAAGTCGGTCACTGGAGGCCTTCTCTCCTGGGCTCTGTCTTGCCCTTTGTGTAACCCTTTGCTCTGCTTCCTGCCCACAGTGATGTTAGCCACTTTGCTCTGTCATACACTCTCTACCAAGAGAGTCTGATACTGTGAACCAAAATAAGTCTTTCCCCTCCTTTAACTTGTTATCCCAGGTATTTTGGCCACAGCTATGCCAATGTCTGTAATACAGGTGTTTCCAGAAGGGATTAGCATTTGGATCAGTGAACTAAATAATGATTACACTCACGAATGTGAGTGGACATCCTCCTATTGTTGATGGCTCAAGTGGAACAAAAATACAGAATGAGGGTAAATTCACTCTCTGTGCTTGAGCTGTAGCTTCTGTTTTCTTCCCTAGGATGTCAGTGTTCCTGATTCTCAGGCCTTTGAACTAGAACTGGGAACTTAACACGACAGCCTCAGGTTTCTGCTCCCACTCCAGTTCTCAGGCCTGCAAGTGAGACAGGTCTTCCACCATTGGCTCCTGAGACTGTCAGGCTTTTGAACTCTCCCTGAATTGTGCTACTGGATTCCTGGTTGTTCAGTTTGCAAGGGGCTGATTTCTCAGCATCTGTAATGATGTGAGCCTATTCTCAATATATATCTCCTATTGGTTTTGTTTCTTTGTAGAATTCAAAAATACATCTTCAGGCACCAGAAATCCTTGTATTCCATAATTTCTTACAATCTCAGTTCTGCCTTCTCCTCCTCATCCTTCTTCCTCCTCCTCCACATCTTGTTTCTTAAGGGTCTCACTCTGTAGCTCAGCCTAGGCTGAC